AAATAAATAAGAGATCTATAACTGAAAATTGCTTGTTTGGCAAAGTACTTAAGCATGTGCTTCACTCAAGAACGTGGGTAATCCTACTGAAATAAATAGGGATGAAGTTCCTTATGTGCTTAAAATGAAGTAAATGCTTAAGTATTTTGTTCTTTTGGGGCTTTAGAACCAAGTCCTGTTTGCGTTAGAGTTTCAGGAAACTCAGTTCAGTCAATAATGCAAGGATGGTTTGCACCCTAGGGATGAATTTTTCAGGACTGTATCAACTAATCATCCTTCCCTGATTTCCTCCCACTTTACTGTGAACTTTTTCCCTATGACTGAGACCTACTCTTACAATAATAATAATAATAGTAATAATAATAATCTAGGCCCTTTGGCCACCTGACTGCCTTAACTAATGATTTTCTCCCAAATTGCAATGCCCCATGTTATAAACCATGTATACCCAAGATTCTTCTTTTGTTTTTAAGTAGAAAATCTACAAAATTTATTGCATTGCATTTCCACTGTAAACACAGAAGCTGGTGCCATGGTGTTTTACTGTATGGTAAGTAAATAAGATTTGGGGACCATTTACTCTTTAGGTTACAGCTGGACACAGGGAGCCATGTTCAATGTTGTGTAGCAGCTGTGCTTTTGGTTCAATGCAGCAGGTATCAGAATACCTCCTGATTCTAATCAGACATTGAAACTGGTCAGGGCCTTGGAGGTTTGGACTCATTTGAGTTCAGCCAGGTCTGTGTGGCTTAAAGGGGGCCACAGCGCAGAGATCTAGTAACAGGCAGCTTGCTGCCTGTCCGGCTTCTTGGGAGCGTTAAAGGTTGTAGAGGGTCCGGTCCAGGGTTCTTAGCTGTTGGATTAATTTGGAACATGCTGTAGATGTTTAGCTAACCCTCAGAAAGTGATGAAGGTAAATCATGTCACAAGTTTTTATGTCCAGTTCCCTGGCTTGATCATCCGAGGTATCATATTTTGAGTAAGGTACACATGAGATTGAAAAGGCAAGTGAAGTGGTGAAGACGGTTGGAAGAAAGGTTCCTAATGAACAGGGAGAGTGATTGGCAATACTAGAATAGGTTACTCTAGAAAGGGGAAGAGTTAAATGAGACTGTAATGGAGATGCTTCAGAACAGGGCACTAGAAAAACTAAACAATCATTCTACTCTAAATTAGCCCAGTTGTGAAAGCAGAGGAAAGAGCTGCACAAAAAATATGTGATGGATTATATTAAGAGTTCTTATAAGACAGAATTGGCTTGTAATATTCACTGTTGCACACAATCTTTGAATATTACAAGTAAATGTCAAAAGGGGGCTTTAACTGACCACAAATATTGATCTGGGGGACACACACACACTTGAGACACAATTGTCCTGCTTGTGTGTATGTGGAGCTCAGTCAACTCTCACTGGAGTTCTCATCATGCTTTTAAACCATAGCCACAGGGCTGGATTATTCCAGGAAATTAGTAAGACTTTTAAAAAAGTGACTTGCAATTTCAGTACTTCCATTTTTGGATGCTCAAGCTGAGACAATTTAAGAGAGTCCCACTTTTAGCTCAATGCTGAATACTCATGCATGCGTACCAAGCTGAGCATTCAAAGTGTTTTGCTCAGTTTTCAAAATCTCAGTTGTAGCTTTTCGGCTTGTGAAGAAAAATTGACAATTGTAGACTCCAAGCCAAGTCAAGACCAGGCTCCTGTCTCCACCCCTTCTTCCCCTTTCAAGGACATACAAATTCAATGAGGCCTATTTCTGAACTGTATATACAGTTAAAAGGATGGCAGTATTTCATGAACAAGATTCTGAAGGAATACAGTGTAACTGCGTAATCAGATTTTGCTTTTGCAGTTGTGCAACACAAGCACATGTCCTTTCTTAATGTGACCAAAATCTGGCTCTCAAAGTTCAGGTTTTGATCAAATTAGCAAGCAAAATCTGTCTCCTTTTCTGAACTGCCACACAATTTTTGGTTCTCAAAAGTGACCTGGAAAGTTCATAAGAACAAGCTTTCTCATGATGTGAGACTCCTGGTATTTCCTGCTTCCAGTTTGGCTAGACGTGCCGCAACAGTTGCTTTTCTCATGGTATTTGGGTATGGTAGTTGGCTCTAAATGGAAGCCCTAGACCCAGATGCACTGCAGCTTTTAAGTCACCAAGTAATAGAGCCCAAATAAGGAATCAAATTTGCCAAATGACCCCAACCTTAGTAACTGCAGACTGAAGGTGTTCAAACTCTAGATTTAGAAATATCCACTCTCAAATATTAGCATAACATCCTCACAGGAAAGAAGCAGTGTAGAGAAAGATTAAAATATAAATAAATAAAGCTGGAAATTAGCTAAACATGCTTTTGGTCATGTTCTGTCTTGACTTGATGGTCAAAATTTGCGAGAGCATGTGAACTGTTTTCCGTTCAGGTAATACCACCTGTCTACTCTATCTGGAGTCAGTGTAGTCCTTTTTACTGAACTCAGCAGAAGCTGAATTAGCCTGTAACTTAGGGAAGCACTGAGACAGGGGAAAGTACTTTTTCTGTTGCCTGCCTTAGGAATAAGACATAATGTTTCTGCTTCTGTGCTAATCAATCTCTGTTTTGGCATTAAAGTTAGGAGAAGGATTGGGCCCTTAAGCTGTGAAGTGTTTCTGTAATATCTTGTTTTATAGTCCTTTTGAATAAAGAGGCAGAGTTGTACTAATGCTTTTCTCAAGAGCAGACACATTACCATAAATCCTACTGGCTTCTGAAATGCTATTTCCTAACCTATTAATTTTTAAACTATATTGTTTTAATATTAGTTTTCTCAGCAATTTCAATTAAGATGTAAGAGATATGAACCTCCCCAGTGGACTTCAAAACATCAGGCAGCTGGAAGTATTGGCTTTTTAATGAGACTTAGAAAGGTCTTGATGAAAATCTCAGCAAAGGAAATCCTATGCTCTCAAAATCCCAACACAGACATCCTGGCATGTGAAATCTTGCAACAATCAGCGTCGCTGGTTTCAGTATCACCCTGACTGGGACTGAAGGGTTAGGAGATTGTTAACAGGCAGCAGAGGTTTTTGCTGTGAACATGATCAACAGCTACAATCTTGCCCAGATTTGGGAGCACCCAAAAGATGTTATTGTCTGGTGGCATTCATTAGGCTCAATGAATAGCTCTGGTTGTCTCAGCCCAGCTCCTAGAAAACAGAAAACCATTCCTTGAGGCTGCTAGCAATAAATGGCCTTGTTTGCTAGCAGTCACAGCATCATGGCCAAAGAATGCACAGTCATGGAAACTGAACTCCCCTCTTGTCCGTCAGGGCGCTTCTGCCAGGTCGTGGCTGAAGCCCTTTGGCAGGAGAGGAAGCCTGCACTGCCACTGCCTGCTCTCAAGACAGAGCGGATGTCTCTCTGGGTTGTGTCCAACATCCCTCACCAGTGGCAAATTTGCTCAAGTAGTTTAACCACTCAGTACTCACTTGTAGTGTGTGCCACTTTGGCATTGTCCATCGTATGAGTTTCTGTGAGTGAGAAAACCAGCCTCGGGTAAAGTCAGAGGCTGACTTTGGGACTTCATTCAGCAGCTTAATACAGTGACTTAGAAGGATCTTGACTTTGAAGACTAAACTCATCCTTTATTGGTAATATTGCATCTCCGGAGGTTCTTCCTTGATGAGGAAAGATAAAAATTTGATTTGATTTTATTTGGGGGCATGTGTGTATTAGTTTTTTATCTCAAGATGCAGCCTAGAATACGATAAAAGCAGTTGTGTTGCAGACAGGACTGTTAAGGAAGTCCTTTTTCTTTCTAGCTAGCAGGTGGGATGGCAACAGGCTTCCAAGGGACAAAAATATTTTTTTTTCTAAAGGTCTTCATTGGAACTTTTCACAGAAGGTATTTCTTGCTTGCCAGCGAAAATCTTGCTCCAATATGGTAGAGCTGGGGGGGAAAAAAAAAATTTGGAGGTAAATGTTTCGTTTGCTGCTGTTGAAAGTTTATTTAAGCTAGTAGTCTAACTGAGTGGGAATAATTCTACTTGAGGATAAATAACTTCAATCAGTCCATATCCTCCTCCTCTTATCAGCATCTAGCCATGACTCAGCATGCTGGGATCAGGCCATCTGCAGTATTGGTGAATACTTCAAGTTCATAGCTCTGAAGGAATACTGGAGAGTGAAATCCATGCGCTAAATATACTTGATTACTATTAAGAATTATAGGACAAAGTTTTGTAAGGATAGAAGGAATTTTTGCTCTAGTGTTTCCAGACAGAACATTTGCTACTTCATAGTATTAAATATTCATATCTGATAACACTATCTATGACTAGCCCCTGGTAGAACTGTGCTGTTTGTCAAAGTAAGTTTTACTCTGATATAAAGAAAAATTTTGTGTTTTGGCCATTAATCTTCCAATACTGAAGTATCCATCTGCTATGACACTGGAAAGACCGTGAATTTTGTTGAGCAAACTTGACAATCAGTGAAGGTTCTCTGTTATTTTTATTGCTCCAATGGCCTAAACCTTGTACCAAGAATGTATCAACAAGCCTAGTCCCAAAGAATTTGCAACCTAGAATCTCAATAGGCAGCAGGTGAATGATGCTGCAGTAGGAGGGAAGAGGGTCGGGGTGCCTCAGTGGGGTGCAGTTGCAGAATGAAGCAAGGTGGTAGCATAGTCCCACAGCCCCAACAAGTTTTCACAGAAGACTGGTAAGGTTGTTCAAGATGTTTTCATCTTGAATTCAGGTCAGGACAGCAGAGTGGTGGTTGGTCACAGTTTAGAGCTTTACAGACTACTACTTCCATAAAGCACACATATATTTTGAAGACAGTTGCTTAGTTAATCATCAATACCAAGAAATATTCCTCTGCTGTTGTTTAGAATGCCTCATTGTGACTTCTTTGTTTTTTGTTTGTTTTTGTTCTATGATTTATGGTATCTCCTGAGCAGGTAAAAGATGACAAGGATAAAGGAAAAGCACCCAAGGAGGAAATGAAAAGTATCTGGGATCGTAAGAAGGGAGTTCCTGAACAAAAGGCACAGAACGGAGAATGTGAACTCACTGCCCCAAAACTTAAACCTACTGAGAATGCTTTTGGGTAAGTTCCAAGTGAGCGCTGGGCTTGCTTATGTTATAGCAGAGCAGGGGGCCATCTCTGGGTTTCTTTTTAATAGCCATGTAGCAGCTGAGTAGAGGACTTTGGTTGGCAACACCAACAGAGGCTCTAGAGTTCATTGGGTTGTAGGTATGAATTAAGGCTCTTGGCCTATTTTCTAACAAACTGCCCCCACATTGTTGCAGTAACAAAATGAAGTACAGAAAGCAGATGTAAATAACAGTCTTGCTCCCCCAGTAGAGACGAGTGGCTTATTTTTGCTCTTCTGGGGTTTTCCTTCCTTGAAGGAGGTTTATTTATAATATCTGCACAGAGGCCAGTAATGACCATAGCCCGGATTAATTTTTTAAGTCAAATCTCAACCTTTACTGACGTAACCTATTTCCAGTTACCCACCTGCTTTTAATCAGACTCTGCATATCAGTATGGACCACTACCCAGGTGGTAACTCTTGAAAGAGCTACTCTCTTGATTTCAATGCAAACTTTGAAATTAATGGCTTCTCTCTAAAAGTTATTTTTCAGTTAGGTGAAAACCTCTCCTAGCCAAAATGTTATAGTTTTTATCTTTTTATAAGCTGTATCACAGTTTGATTTTTATTTTTTCTTTTCAAGGAAGTATTTGCCTTATGACTATATTGGGAAATACAATGAAGGTAACAAATTTCTAGTGAAAAGTTTGTTAAAAAAGGGTTCTACCTGCTCAAAGGAGGGGAGACATGAAGCAGAGCAGAAATTATTCCTTATAGCAGAAAACCAGGAATGAATAAATTAGAAATCTAGATATTTTTTTTTTTTTTTCCTTCTGCATCTCTCTTCCTCTTTCACATTGACACAAGCAAAGAAAAGGTTAAGCATTCCTGGCACTTTTGGAAATCTGTGCGTGGCAGATGGGATTTGCTGTTGTATCTCAGCATTCCCCTCATGATTCTTCCGGGAAAAACAAACTTTCTCAAAATAAAATGCAGTTCAAAAGTCCCTGGAGACACCCTGACCTAAGGCCAAAAGACAGACAGAGATGGAGATGGAATAGCAGGAAATCGGCCTTGCTCAGAACTGTCCTGCTTCATGACTTGGGTCACATCATCAATAACATGAGAATGGTTTTCTAAAAATATTTTTGTTGTGTTTTCATTTACTTTACTTCCTGTGGGAGACAAGGCCTTAGTGGCAACATGTAGATTTGAGTTTCCACTCCTTTTTTTATTTTTCTGTTTTTCTTCTTCTATTTCCCAAATGTGGGAAGAAGCCTGTTTAATGGCCTTTTATCAGCTTGAGTTGAAGACTTGGGTTGGCAATATTAGCAGAGGCTCTTAGTGTTTGTTGCGTTGTTAGGTATGAATTAAGGCTCTTGGCCCATTTTCTAACGAACTGCCCCCACATTGTTGGGCTTTGTTTGGAGCTATCTTTCTTCTTGTTTTTACATGAAATATCAGATACTAGTTAGGAAACATGTAACTTGGCTAACTCTCAGTGGTGAGGACTGAGAATAAAACAGGGTAGTGGAGGCTAAAGAAAAATCTTATCTGTGTCTTGTCTACGTCAGTCAGTAAGAGAAATACAGAATAAAACCCCATTTTATGGCTTCCCCTTCCCATCTCCCCTCCCACCTGCCTTCCTCCCTATTCTCATACAGGACTGCAAAAGTCCTAAATATGATGTAACATGTTTTTTCACATTGTTCTGACATTTTTGGCTCCCACAAGCCACTTCTTTCCTTTTCCTCCTTGTCTGAAAGCTGGCAACCAGCTTCATTTCTTAGTACCAAAGAGGTGCTTACGAAACTCTTCCTCCACCCAGCATCTCCATACTAATTTCCCAATGTCGACAGCAGGGAACAGAGATTCCCAGAATCTGCTGAAAATAGAGGAGTTTGGGAGGTGGAGGAAAATAAAGAGAGTTACTGCCAGTTTATTGTTTGCTATTTTGGATTATGCAGAACCAGTAGGGAAGTCCTGCGAGCCGCATGAGAATAAAATAAGCTAGAAACTTTAAATGTCCTTCTTTGACAAAATAGTCACCTGAGGTCTCAAAAAAAATGTCCAGACTATGATCTACCTTTGACTTTTATCAGTTGAAAGCTGAGAGTAGCTGTTAATTTCACTGAGGCTATCTGCACTGAAGTCACTGAGGACTAACCTTTCGTCTGTGCTGATATAAAACAGAGTGGCTCTTTATTAAAAGAATCTTGGCAAATGTTATGTTCTTAGTTCTCTTAATTCTGAGGGCTGAGTATTTGCCCTTGCCAGGGATATAATTATGACTATCAGAAGTGACCTCTTGCATCATCTCTGGGCCTGAAGCTTGCAGGTCTGGGTGTATTGGCAGCACAGATTTCAGAGACCAAAAAAAAAAATAAAATAGTGAGGTTCTTGGGATGTTTGCTATAGGGGCTACAAGCTTGCAATGAAGCATGAAAGCCTTAAAATAGCCAGGGATTTCTCATGGCCTGCGCAGGAGAGATGCACTGGATCCTTAGAAATACTTAGTGCCTTATAGAGGCTTGTCGAACATTTTGGGTTCTCAGTACCTCTGCAAACTGAATCAGGGGTATTTCTGACTGGACACCCAAAATTTTATCTCGCACCTCAGGTATTGGTCCTCACTTTGTTTTTTGAATGGGCTAAATGAAATTTCAAATAAAGTTTCCAGTGTTTTCTCACAATGCTTTAGTTAACTGTGTATGTTTTTTGCATTGCAAAAACATGAGTTCCTTTCTTTAATTAGACATCACTACCTGATGCAAGCCCTTATTCATGACCACCTAGACTCCCTTTGCGCTTATGGTGGAGGGTGATCTTGTGGTTCTACTTTCATTGTTTAAGTGATTACACTGCAAAAACACATTCAGGAATAGGGTCTGGAGCAGAAAAGGATTATGGCAAGGTGGTATTAGGGAAATATACGTGATGTACTTGTAAGTCTAGGTTAGAAAATCAGGCATGAGCATGTATTGGGGGTACATACATTCACAGATCTCTGGGACATTTTCTTTTTCTTTAGCTTTGCTTTGTGATGTTATACGCTTGCACACAAAAGACTTTCTAAAACCAAGTAAACACATTGCAAAATAAACGCTAGGTCCTACTACTTTAGCGTTGAACTTGCACAGATAAAGTACAGCGGCTGAATTCACATAACAGCATCAGTTTGGTTATGCTATTTTGCCATATGTTTTTTAATGATACAATTCCTAAATCCTGCACGATGTGCTAGAACCAAATTTCATCCAATTTGGTAAGATCATGTGGGGGCAGAGGACTCTGTTAGTAGATTCTAGTGTGATACTGAAACCACAGATAATTCAGCACTGGTCCTACAGTCTGTTTTATATGGCGAACTCCATCTAGATGAGGCATCTATCTGAACGAAGAGCACGTTTGCAGGATTGGGTGTGATTCACCAGATTGCAAATTTATATGATATTTGTTCTTGATGTTGTCACCTCTAATCTGATCATCTCTAACAGTTATTGTTATTGTTGGAACGCTTGATTTGTACTGTCTTGTGGTATTATACTCTGCAATGCTCTGGTTGCGTTAATGAAGTCATTAATATCCAGCTTTTTAAAATGCCAACAGAATAGAGCTGAAAGGTTGGTTTTTTTTTTAAAAATCCATAAGTACATTCCCTTTCTGTCTATTTTGAATAGCACAGTGATACCTCTTAGGTACCTATCTTCTTGTCAGCAGTAATATTAAACACAGGCAGGGAGCAGACATTTGTCTAAACACTAGTGTGGTAATTGTTTAACTAGGTGACGTTATCTGACTGTGTTGAAAGTATGCACTTCACCTATGCAAATCCTTTGGCC